CAAGATTTGTTGAGGTCTGTGTAATCAACACACATACGCCATTGCCCCGTCTTCTTCCGAACCAGGACTGGGTTAGCCAGCCAGTCGGGATATAGGACTTCCTTGATGAAGCCTGCTGCTAACAGCTTGGTCAATTCCTCTTTGATCGCATCTTTTCTATCCTGTGTAAAACGGCGGAGTCGTTGTTTGATGGGTTTAGCGTCTTCCTTAACATGTAAAGAGTGCTCAATAACCTCTCTAGGAATACCAGGTATATCAGATGGTTTCCACGCTAAGATATCTTTATTATTTTGAAGAAAGGTGATGAGCGCGCTTTCCTATTTACAATCTAACTCAGTGCCTATTACAACAGTCTTAGTGGGATCAGAGGGATCTAGAGGGATTTTCTTGGTCTTGGCATCGCCTTCTCCGCTTTTCAGCATCTTGGTTGCAGGCACTTCTTCTTCGGTTGTTGTGGATGCAGCTAGTCGGATTTTCTCTCGGGCGAGCGTGATCTCGCGGGTCTGGGCCATCTTGCAGCTTTCCTTGTCACAAGTAACGGCTTGCTTGATGTCGCTCCGTAGGGATATGACTCCTCGAGGACCTGGCATCTTCATCATCATGTAGGTATAGTGGGGGACAGCCATGAACTTGGCTAACGCCGGGCGTCCGAGTATGGCATGATACACTGTCTCGAAATCAGCAACTTCAAAACAGACGTTTTCTGTGCGGAAGTTCTCCCGAGTGCCGAAAGTAACCGGAAGAGTGATATGGCCGAGTGGTGTAGCAGATTGCCCGGGGATGACTCCGTGAAAGGGCGCATTACTTGGCTTTAATTCTGTGCGAGGGATCTGCATGTCGTCCAGAGTCTTGGCGAAAAGGATATTGAGTGCACTGCCACCATCAATGAGGGATCTGCGAAGCTTGACGTTGCGAACCACTGGGTCTAGTACCAGGGGGTACCACCCTGGGTGGACCACTCGGTCGGGATGATCCGAGCGGTCGAACTTGATTGTTGTCTCTGACTACCGAAGATATTGAGGTGTGTCGGGCTGGACAACATTGATCTCCCGTTCGGTCAGCTTTTGCTTTCTCTTGGATTCATAAGCCAGGGGTCCGCCAAAGATGTGGTTGAGTTCCTTGCGATGGTCTTGAAAACCAGTCGGGGCATCATCTTCGTCATCCTTCTTCTTTGGCGTGCTTTGATCTCCGTCAGTGGTCTTGCGTGCGTTCTTGGCGTATTGTTCTACAAACTGTTTGTAGACGAAGCAATCTTTGGCCGCGTGATTGGAATTTGGATGATGCGGACATTGGGAATTCATGATCTTGTCGAAGGTATTGACGCGCGAACGTTGTCGGAAGGATGGTGTAGTGGTTGCCATAAGTTCCTCGGGCTTACGCTTGCGATCCTTGTGATTGGTACTTCCACTCCCCCCCGTGGTCGGCGTATCTTTCTTCGGCTTCCAAGTGGTGCCCGACTGCTTGGATGCGGTGACGGCATCTTCGGCTTTTACATACTCATTGGCTTTTTCGAACATCTGCTTGACCGTCCTGGGAGGCTTGCGTCCAAACTTGCCAACTAAGAGCTCGTGGCGGATGCCCTTGGTGAAGGCGGCGATGATGACATCGTCGGTGATGTCGGAGATCTTGTTGCGTTGCTTGGAAAAACGTCGGATGTAATCTCGAAGGGATTCTCCAGACTTCTGGACAACATTGTAGAGATCGAACTGAGTGCCAGGGCGTTCAAAGGTTCCTTGGAAATTGGCGATGAAGTGGTCGCGAAGTTCCGCCCAAGATCCGATTGTGCCATGGGGTAGCCCGTGGAGCCAGGACCGGGCAGAATCCGCTAGTGCTACGGGTAGATAGTTTGCCATAGCTTTACTGTCTCCTCCTGCTGCGCGAATTGCAAGACCGCAGACGGTGAGCCCAGACTCAGGGTTAGTGGTGCCGTCATACTTCTCGATTCCAGTTGGCTTGAAGCCGGCCGGCCAATCCACTCGACGCAGGTCGCTTGTGAAGGCAGCAACTCCATCCACGTCGTCGTTATAGCGATCTGGTGAATGGTGGGGGATGTAGCCTCTCGCCGCACGGCGCTGGTTGATAGTTTCGCGAAGATCGATGGGACGCCTGTGATGCGGGGAGCGGGGACATTCAGCTCGACGCTCCCTGCGTCAGTCAGGAGGCGAGTGGACGGAGCGCTCGTCGTGGTCCCTGCTCCTACGACTGGATCCGGCACCAACGACGCTGAGGCTCAGTTGGTTATAGTCTTGAGATCGAAGAGGGGGACTCGGCTGCCAGTCGGCGTGCAGACGCTTGCGGAGTTAACCGGGACCGAAGCTGCGATCATGGTCTTGGTCTGGTTCAAGATGTTGACGACGTGATTGACTTGATTGAGTGTGTCTTCCTTAAGGAGGGTGTCGAGGAGGGTGATCGCTGCAACCGCGTTCTGTTGAGGGGTGCGAAAAACCGCCGTTCCCTCGACGTCTTGTTGCCCGATAAGTTCTCGTGCTCGTCGCTCGGCATCCAAGGCGCGCTGTCGCCGGTCTTCAGCCTCCTTTGCAGCCTGTTCGCGCTCCTGTTGCTCACGCTGCAGCCGTTCTCGTTCTTGTGCTTGGCGCTCCTCTTCCAATCGGCATCGTTCGGCTTCCTGTCGCACGCGCTGTTCTTCGGCTTCTCGGGCTTTACGTTGTTCTTCCGTCTCGCTGTCAGCCATGAAGATGCCGAAGTAGAGAGGCGTGTAGTTATCTTCAAAGTCTTCGTCGAAGTCGTCGAGGTTGCGGTAGTCGTAGCGGTAGCCGAAGTCATCGTACTCAATGATCTCCGTAGGCCGTGAGTCGACACCGGGGGAGCTGAGGTAGCCATCCAGTTGTTCCGTCGAAACCGTGCCGAGAGGCTAGAGTATGACGCCGACTTCCTTGGAGCTAGGCTGGATCGGGGCCGAGGCCGGATCCCGCCTAGACCTACGGGGAGAAGATGCCCTTGTGGTGAAGACGGCAGCCAAATCATCGGGGAGTTTCATCAGGATTGGTGGATAAGCTCCATCATCTTGATCAGGTCGTGTTGTAGTAGATTGGATCTTGTCCGAGTGGTTTGAGGCCAACTCGGTTGAGATGGTCTTGGGGTAGATCTTGGCCAAGTTCGGGATACCGAACGGGGCGGAGATCTGGCCTCTTCCCGACTGGTTCGAATCCGAGTCGAGGAGAGAAATCTTGCCGAGGTCGTTGGTGATGAAGTCGAGGCTGCCAAACCGGAACACCTGCCCGGGAGGGAAGACGAAGTCGTCGATGCCGGAAACGAAACCCATCGCACTAGTCGGCGAAGAACTTGACGCTACCCCTACCTGGCGCGCCAACTGTCGAAACAAGATTTCGGCAATACTAAAAGGGGGTGGCTATCAAGCTGGAAAAGTGGATGGGTTGAAAGAAAAGGAATTTTATACAGGTTCAGGCCTTCTTAATTAAGAAGTAATACCCTACTCCTGTCCGGGGATTGATCCGCCGAGTGTTATTATTGATCATATGATCTGGGTGAAAATCGTGCCCCTAGAGGCACCCGGACCCCTCCTTATACAGGGGAAGGGGTCCGCATTACAAAGCACAATCCATATCCCTAACGGAATAAGTAGTTACAGATAAGATACAATCGTAACCGACTAGGATCCCAGGTATTTCCTTGACGTACAAGTTTGGAATTTAACCCGAGTCCTTTTAAGGATATTCTGTCTATACATGGCACCCCATACCCAGTCGGACTATACATGGCGTGTAGATATGGGGTATCCATAATCTCCACACATCTCCTTAGTAGTCATGCCAAGGGCTAAAATTTATTATATTTTAGGACAAATGGAGTAATAGGTTTTGTTCTTAAGTGTTTTTTTTATTGAAGTTTGAATCTTATAAACGAGTGATATTTTGTAGGCATTATTTGCCCTAACCTATGCTAAATATTGTAATTTTTTTAGATTATGAAATATTTCACTAATCAAGGAAAGGTTGTTCTAACAATGATGCTTGGGTGCATTCCTTATGTAGACACTGCAATGAAGGCATTCCTTTATCTTGAGAAGAGAAGGGTTCCATTAAAAAAAACCATTTTCTATCTTTTGTAACTAGAGTTAGTTCTCCTCACTCAACTTATTCATGCCTTTCTTCTTTTTTCTTCAACAGTGATATAATCTTTGCACGTAATTTGAACACGATGACACAAAAAGTCCAAAGCTAACAATTTTCTTTGAGGAAAACTATCAACATATAAAATATTCAGGGAGAACTGAACAACACTCTAAGAAAAGACTGGATTTGGCCAATCGTTCTGACATCAATATCATGGACTAAATTGATGTTTCTAAGGTCAATACTCCTTCTGTCACTATACTGCTAAGTTTTTTTTTAAAAAAAAAAGTCTTCAAAGTTCACCGAATTGCAATCTCCTCTTCCTCAGGACCTCATATTTGAAAAATGCAAAAAAAACGATGAGCTAATACATACAAGCTCTTTCAAAAAAGTAACATGTTGAGAATAGTCTCTGATTTGACCTGGAAAATTTTTTATGCTTTAATTTGAGACCACACAACACTAGCAAGAACATCTGAGACGTCTTGTACCGCAGCCACAGATGAACAAGAAGCAATGTGTTTGCTTTGAAAACTCTCACCAAATACAGCGACCCAACTGAAAGGTCTGCTTGTGATTAACTGTGGAGGCAGCTTTTGATTTAGGCATGACTTTGTTCAGCATAAATACATTCAGAAAAACTAAAGTGATTGTCCTTCTCGCCAAAAAAAAAAAGTGAATGACTTTTTATCACATTAGAGTTCAGTTTTTGCAAGCATCGAGATTTGACAGCACTTTCTCAAATCGAGAAATATGCATTTGTAATGCAAAGGCAAACCGTGTTTATATTTTCAAACCGGCCCACCACTCAAAAGATTTTCAAACCGGCCCACCACTCAAAAGAGGCTTAAACTGTCACCAAAACAAATTTGGAACAAGGCAGATATAATTAAAGCACAAAATGTGGAAAGGCATAAAACAATGGCAATTCTCTACTCTTTATTTGCATGGTTACTTCAACTGCTTGCCCTATTAACAACCTGAGGTGTGTGTTCTTCAGTAATGTGATCCATTATATACATGGTTATATAACTACACAAGTAAGGTGACAACATGGATCTGCTGGATGGCTACTGCTTCTACATAACCACTATATGCACTGACAAGCAGGTTGGATCATTAGAACAACAATCTGGAATTCCAGTACCCCATGGATCAAAAACTCCTTGGAGCAGTTGAATGCTTGGTCCATCTGCGTAAGTGAATGAAAGAATGTGTCTCACTCTCGCTTGCCAGGGGCAGCAGGGCTCAGAGACATTTCGATTTCCTCAAGAGAACGTCCTTTCGTCTCGACAATGAAATTGTAGGCGAAAAGTGCTGACAACAAGGATACTCCACCAAAACCTGCATAGACGGCTCCAACGCCTAACTTCTTCGCAAGCTCCAGGAAATACAGTCCCACCAGAAAATTGCATATCTGACGAACAACCCAATCCATAAGTGTTGAAGTAGACAGGACTAATAAACTGCATATCTTGACTTGAAGCGGCAATGTAGAGTACATACAAACTACACACTACACAAGGAGAGTTACGAGGCGATTTTATACAGTTGGAAAGTGCATACCCAATGTACAGTGAAGCTGAAGCCCATAACTTTCGAGCGTGTCCGAGCACCACTCAGCTCTGGTATGATGATTCCTGTAACTGGTCCGGCTCCAATGGCGAATGTAAATATGTACCTGGAAATGTAAACATGAATAAATAAGTGAGATAAAAAAAATCGCTCAGTATTAACTGTTCCATAAACACAATGTGTGAGACCTGATCAGTTGCCAGATCATGAAGTAAAGTATATAGATGCTAGAAAAGGATCCTTTAAATTATCCATCAGCAATGCAAATGTAAATGGCTTAAATTATCCATCAGCAATGCAAGGTAAATGGCAAACTGAGAAATTAAACACGTGAATTTTCCATATTCCAAGCAAGGATTTTGCTTCACAGCAATCATAAATAGACCTCAAAGCAAAGGTTCCAAAAAAGGGACACCCTTTGTAGTAACCTCTATAAAAAAACAGCTATCATGTTCAACAAGTTAATTCTTTCAAGTACTAATTACAAGTACTTTAAATTACCAGGGAACATTGTATCATAGCAAGTGGAATGAAGAATATGAAATAGAAAGTGATGCAGAAATACATACAACAGAGTTCCAGTAATTGACAGGCCATGGCTAACTCCTTCATCAAGGGGGAAGCTAATGGCATATACTATTAGGAACATTGCAAGTGCCTGCAAAAAAGTAGAAAAGTTGCATCAGGTTTTGTTTAAGGACTACAGCAGATCACAACAATATTTCCAGAACAGTAATCATGCAATAAAAAATTATATACTCATCATAGCTTACACTTGCCATAACTCCTCTGAAACAAGAAAAACAATGCAGAATTTACTCAACTCTAAAAGATTATATTAAAACTTCCTGAAAAGCATCGGTAGAAGCAATATATACCATTCCAAGATAGCTTCCTGTCAAGAGTTTCTTTCGACCTTGCTTATCCATCAAAATTGAAGCAACAATTGCCCCTGAAATTTGGTCCATGAGTTTATGAATAGTTACCGCAAAGTAGAGCATTATAAAACAAGTTTAACAAACCTGCAAAATTAGTTATTCCAACATATAGGCTTGCCAAGATACCACTGGTAATACCAACATCACGGAATGTTAATGATGAGAAGTACAGAACGCCATTTATGCCAGCAAACTGTTGCAGAAAGAAAAGGGACCCTCCAATCAGTGCAACTGCATATACATTAGAAATTAAGCTATTAATATCATGGAAATAAAGATCATAATAATGCAAAGGGAAGGAACAAATAGAAACAAGTATACAGACATTAAAGATACTTGTGTTTAAGGTTATCCAGAAATAAGACACTTATTCACTGTATTGATCTGTAACAGCATCTACGACAACCACCTAAATAACTGACTATTTTCCAACCAGCAATGAACATTAGCAAAATTGCAGAAGATACCATAACATATTTGAAGGAAAAAGCTAGAAACCATATACGGGACAATTGCCAACATACATCAATGTGACTCCTACAATATGAAAGGAAAAACAGTAACCAGTTCCTTTATAAAGGCATAAGGTAGTATTGAATATGTCCTATGAAACTTTACAGAGCACACAGACATGCATCAGCATTTTAGAACATACATATAGCACCTGCTACAAGCAGTCATGCATATCCTAAAGTTATGAGCTGGAATGCACATACACCACCAAAACAATAGACTTTCCATTGTACTCCACGATCATAATATGGCAGTTCTAACTTCAAACCAGCAGAAAGAGCTAAAGGGAAAAAAGGAATAACCTCTATTGTGGGGTTCTTCCAGAAGTTCTGACCAGCTAGCCTGCGAATCATCATTTGCAACAACAGATTGGATCTCTTCCATGGACTTCTCAACTTCAGAAGGTCCCCAAACATGTTCTACAACATTTCTGGCATCATCTATTCTTCCAACCTACACAATGGAGTCCATTTGTATTGGCAAATACCCTAAGTTGACAAATAAAACTATAAGTTATGTAGTAAAGGTACCTTGGCAAGCCAGCGGGGACTCTCAACAGCAAATTGCATTCCAGCAACAATAAGAACACCAGGTACACATGCAGCATAAAGCATTGTCCGCCACCTATGGATTCAGATACAAAATCTTAAGCAACACATTAATGATTTATTACGTATACAATGGATCTGCCAACTGATTAAGAATCAGTTCAGAAAGGTTCCAGGAATGCAATAGATTTCGAAATAGAAATTCTTTTTTCAATGAATATGCAATTAATATCAAGAACTGAAGGATTAGTAATTAAAACTAGTAAATTGCATTCCTCTACCAGTGCAATGGTTTTGATACCCCCATGATTTATTTTTAAAAAAATTATGATATCTTAGTTCTATTATTAAATGAATCAAGGATATGTGAACAAAAACATTATTCACCTGCTTTGATCGATATGTTTTGTTAATATGCTCCATCGATAATGGCACTGCAGCAAATTTAAACTACTGATGACTTACATTATTAACAGTGAAGAAATGCCAAGAAGAGATGCCTCACCAATGTGGGTCACTTTCAGATGGTATTCCCAATGAGAATGCAGCGATTATTCCCAAACATGTTCCGATCTGACATAGAGTCCCCAAAGAACCCCTGTATTTTGTTGGAGCAACCTAAAAGGTAGCATGTGAAAATAAAAACTAAAGATACATATAAAGCAACTGGGAAGAAAATCAATATTGGAGAATCAATCATATACTGATGATATGTATAACAGTGACAATTAATTCTGAAATAACAAACGCCTGAACGGTACCTCGGAGACATATAGTGGAACGAGCACTGTATTTATGCCAATTCCAATGCCAACAAGGAATCTTCCCAAGAGCATCTCATCCAACGAATCTGCCTGTGCACTGTATGATTGTTTTAGATGTAACAGATGCTAAATTTATGAAATAAAAATGGTGTCTAGATAAAAAAAAGAAACTGAATTCTATGTAAAATTCTATACAAGCATGCTGCACACTGGTCAGCAGGAACTCCATTAAGTTAGAAACAGTGAAACTGAGTACCTGAGAAGTGCACCAAGAATCAGCGGAATGCTATCAATTTGAAGAGTCCTTTTACATCCAAAATTGTCGACTAGTGCAGATGAGCCTAAGCTTCCGAAAAATGCTCCAACAATGAATATGCTGACCACAAGACCTTGGAGAAATGGATTCCCCTGAAAACCAAGCTCCCGTGCTATATCCTCTATTGGACCATTCATGACCCTGCAGACGTACAATGCACCAAGGATTCAGCCAGATGTTCTAACAACGACAGAAGTCGCAGAAAGCTTAGCATTACAGCGCACGGTTTAGCTCATTGAAGTGTCGGTTTTACATTTCAGTTGGCATTGTTCAGCTATAGTGCACAGGATACATAAATTGAGCAAAATGTATAGGTATAGTGTGTAGCCAGTGGATGACACGAAATGTGCACGCACCCGATGTGGTAGCCGAAGAGGAAGTTGGCCATGGACGCCGTGAGCACGTGCGGGAACACCCGCAGCCACCCGAGATCAGCACCGCCGCCTCCATCTCCACCACCGCCTCCCCCAATCCCCGCATCCAATCCTACCAATAGCAGCACGGAAGCTCGCTTTCAATTCAAATCACAATCAGCACGAACAGAAAGGAGACAGAGAAGCGCCCGCTCGCCCAACCTGCGGCGGCGCTCTCCGGGAGCGGCGGCGGGGCCGACGCTGAGGCCGGGCTGGACGGCGGCGGCGGCCTGCTCTCGACGGCGACGAGCCGCGGCGGCCAGAGCGCCCCGAGCGCCGCCACGGCCGTGCCGCCGCGCCCCCGCACCCGCGGCGCGGCGGGGAGGCAGAACGGCAGCGGCAGCGGCAGCGGCAGCAGCGCGGCGGGATGGGGCGGCGGCGGCGGCGGCTGCATGTCTCCCCGGCGGGGCAATCCGTCGAGCAGGTGGCGCGCGCGCAGAGGAGAGGAGAGGAGAGGAGGCGGGAGAAGCCGGGGGTTGGGCTAGGCACCCGCGGGCCGCGGCTTCCGTGAGAGAAGGGCCCCGGTCTCTGCGTGGGGCCCACCCGCGGTTTCTATGTGGGGCCCACCCACCCCCAACTCGCCTGAGAGATTTTTTTTTGCGTGAGGCGGAGGCCGCCCTCTGTCACTGTCTGGACATCAGCTCTCTTATCCTCTACTTTCGCTTGTCTATTCTCGTCTCAGCTTCGTCGAACCGTTTCGGGTAGACCTATTATCATTCCGTGGTAAAATAACTAGTACGTCGTGAGAATCACCGTAGTTTCAAAAATCAAGAAGATTAGTGCACATGATAATCATGTGGTCTTATAAACCCTGCTCGTCTGTTGCGAGTTGTGACTTTGAGTGACTTACTGTGGGTGATTGATAAAAAAATGCACAGATTTTGTTTTTTCTTTTGCCAACACGCAACACCAAATTTTTTGCTCGTATTTATGCTTATAAGCCACGACCAAAGTTAAACTTTTTAAATTTAAACTTAAATTATTGTAGTGCTTTCTTTTCTTTTTCTACCTTAGGTTTTAAGCTGTTAAGAATAGAAATTTAAATATTTTAACCACCATAAAATTATTTTTCGTTGCCTAGTTCATTTTCTCTACAGCTTATCAGCCGAGCCACTAACGCCAAGTAGAAAATAAATTTCTACAAGATAAACTGTTTCTTTCCCTTCCTTTGTCCGTGTGCCCGATTGAGTATGCCTTTTAAATATCCCCGTTCGGCTTTCTAGTGTCCTGTTTTAGGGAGCTAAAGAAACGATTGAAATATTTTTATGTAATAATACTCTATTTTTGGATTCTCTAGATATTGAGGTCTTGTTTGGCTGCTGTAGAAAAGTTTAACTTTTTAGTCCAGATTCTAATAAGTTATAATTGTAGAATCCAGAAAATAAACTAGAAGCCAAAAAGGCCCTGAGACTTATTAGTAGAATTTAGGCAGCTAGCGAAATAGGGCAAAACATGCAGCATTGGTTATAATTTTGTAATATTTTTCGCTACATTAATATAAAAAAATTATACTGTCCAGTGCTGGTCATTGCGAAAAAGAAAACTAGCTGTCAGGGTTAGGGGAGACGAATTCATGAAAATAGCTGCGGTTGTCAGCTGAATATCCTAATGACAGTTGAGCGAAGATTGACATTATTCCAATATAAATCCATGTGAGTATGTGACCCAATCCAAAAGGACCAAACTGTAAACTGTTGGGCCAATCTTGCACGCCAAATTTGTTCTCCATTTATTTATGGAATTTTCATCGCGAGCTGTCCTTGAAAAGCCCAAATGACAGTTGGGCTTTCATCATTCTTGATCAGTATTAATTTCTGAAAAAACTGCAGAATTAGAGTGGCCTTGTACTCCAGCTGCCCTGAGATGGACAAGCTAAGCACGACAGACACTTTGCAAATTAGAGTTGTCAATAGTGAGTCGTCCGAGAAATCATGAGGCCCATGGGTTTTATGACATATGCTTCAAAAGTAAATTATACAAAGAGTATATTGATTGCACAAATCTATCTGATCGTTTGATCAGTACCTCTGTAAAAAAAACTACAGAGAATATTTTTGCTCTTTCATATTAACTTATAACTCTACAGTAACACTTATTTTGGATACATAGATACCTACAGATAATGAAGCAAGCTACTAGGTTAATGACATGGCCGCCTAAACTTATTACTATTGAGATGCACTACTGCGCCTATTGAAGAACTCTTAACAAATTGCTGCTATAACATAGAAATTCTAACTTCGCCATGCCACCTAAATTAAAATTGGGGCTATCTATATATCATGTGACAGAAAATCCCATCTCCTATTATTCGAATTTTAGACCATTGGATGTGCTTTAAGATTCGTGCAGCCCCTTAACCCTAACTCCTCCTCCTCCTCCTCCCTCCGGTTCCAGATCACGCCGCCACCCTCCTCCTCCCGTCCCACGCGCAATCCGCCGCCGCCACCACCGCCACCGCCCCACCGCGCCGCCGCCCGCCTCGCCGGCTGGCCGGAAAAGGTCAACGGCGCCCGCGAGCCCCCCCCCCCCCGGCGAGCCCCCTCCCCTCCCCCTCCCCCCCTCACTTTCTCCTCATGACAGCGATGACGAGGTGCCCCCGCCCCGCCGTCTTCCCCATCTCCGGCGGTTCCCTGCCGCCGGATCCACCACCACCGGCCGCCGCCTCCTAATCCCACACTTGCTTTGCCCCTGCCGCCAACGCCGGCCCACCGCCTTCCTTCATCCCCGCGGCTTCGGCGCCGCCGCCCACGGCCATCCCTCTAAGCCCCGAGGAAACCCCCTCTTCCCCCTCCCCCAACCCCCCTCCTACCCTCACCCCAACCCCAAACCCTGACCAGCCGTAGTTGGGGTGTCGCTGGCGCCGGAGAAGAAGAGGAGCCCGTCGGAGTTGGAGGAGAGAAGCCGATGCACGAATCTTGGCATGGATCCAATGGTCCAAAATCTATAAGACTTCATCTCCAAATTTCATTCGAATGCCATATAGCAATCCCGTTAAATTTATATGTCACTGGCTCTAATGGTGGTAACATCATCTTGTTTAAGATTAATTGAACTTGTCGGTGAACACGTTTTAAGAATATAGAGAATAACATTCTAATAAAAAAACGCTTAATACATATAAGTAAATTTATTCGGACTCTAACATATCTTCTACTACTATGTTCATGACATCTTTGAACATAGAAACGTGTGCCTCTCATCTATAGCGATTCGTTCGTACTGTATGTAATATGGTTGGCACACAGGCGCCTGCCTCTTGAAAGTTGAAAATGCATGTACTTACAGTTACGCACATAACCAACAATCTTTTATAGAAACATAATACAACCGCAGACGCTCACAACGTCTGTACTCTCATTCTTATGAACATACATACGCACATCTCAGATTGACGAAGTCATTATGGATGTCTCGTTGTCAACAGGTACATCATCTACTACTGAAAGAAAAATTAGCCATAAGTACGAGCATCCATATCAAATCTAAAATTTAAACCCGGATAGATTGGTTCTATCATAAGGAATCTAACCAGTTGAGCTACACTTATTTTGTCACCGATGACTTTTTAGAACATCGCACATGCATGTTAGTTTGTTAGACGTTGACTGGTGAGCAGACAGCTAAATACAGTCACCGTTCTATCGGTGAAAGGATATGTCGTCTTTGTTCATCAGGAGTTGTCTAATTCTTTTTGCTGTTAGCTATCAAATCTCTGGACTGTGATGGCCATTATTTGAAGATTAAGACCCGGACCGACAAAATTCATATCGTCGATCGTTTGGCAAATTAATTAAAACGTTTTTTTTTCTTTTATAAGTTTTGCCTGGCAGTTACTAAGTTGATTCACCATGCCGGTATGTGATTGAATTGCCTGCACACAGAAATATACTCCAGCTTGTACTTGAAGGGTTGAGGCTTCAATATATATATATATATATATATATATATATATATATATATACTCCATCCATCCTAAAATATAAGCATTTTTAGGTTTTTAGCTGTGTGTCCAGATTTATAGCTAAAAGTTATTATATTTTTGGACGGAGGTAATATACAGCTGCGCTAGACTATCTTGATGTGGTTGTAGTAAAGTTTGATGTTTACTAGCTAGATATACCTTTATAGGGCATCTAATTAATCACTTTTTAACGCTAGGTCAATGCTACCACACGTCCACACTACATGTATTTATTTATTTTATGGTGAAGCAAATAATGTTATAACCTAAAAGTTTAAAAAATGCTTTGGTGTAAGTTATAAAACTTGAAATGATTTATATACTCCCTCTGTCCCTTTAGATTTAGCTTGTCAATGAAGACATTAAGGACGATATATACTAAAAGAATACTATATCTTTTATTAATATGGAGAGAAAAATAAGGAGTAGAAGAAAACGAGGAGGGGAAGGTTTACTATTGGCTCAATGACTAAAAATGATAAAAATTATAATAGTATTAAAGATGCCGAGTGAACCACTCAAAACTACATTCTTTTTGATAAATACAAAGGCTAAAACTACACTTGTTTAGAGGTGGAGGGGGTATAAGTTTAGGTTAATCCCAAAAATAAAAAAATAGAACAAACTAATATATTGCGTAATTTGTATATTTCTAGTCAAGGTGCAATTAATTTTGTATACTGTGTAGTTTAATAAATTACTTGAAAGTTTAGGTGGCTAACCGATAAGGGAAAAAAACAAACGAGTGACAGATAACCAAATTGTACATTATTATTATTATTTATGTTGGTCTATGATAGTATAATATTACTCCCTCCTATACTACAGAAATATCCAAAAGTTATTTTCGCATGCTGACGGGTAGCCTGCATGCGCCCAAGTGTCTAAGAAAATTGGATTTTCGCATACATGTAGAGCAATCGTATGCAAAAAAAAACTGATTTTCGCATGCGGGCGCTTAAGCCGTCCGCATGCGAAAATAATAACTCACAAAAAAAACTAGCCCCGGAACCCTAATCCAGAAGTCGTCGCCCCTCGACGCCACCGCCGATGGATCCGCACACGTGGGGGCGGAGAGGCGGTGGGATCCGCGTGGGATGGGGAGGGGGCGCTCCGAGCTCAGCGCGATGGATCCACCCTCCCGTTGGTTGCCCACGATGGATCCACCCTCCCCGTGGTTACCAACGATAGATCCGTCCTCCCCTCGGTCGCTGGCGACCTATCCAATGTTGGTGCAGTAGCCGATGTTGTCTCCGTCCGCCGCCATCATCGGTCATCGCAGTAGTCACCGCAGCCATCGCCCGCCGTCATTGTAGGACATTGCAGTAGTCGCCGCCGCTGCCTGCGCCTCAACCGCCAGAGTGAAAAGGGGAGAGGAAGGGAGAAGAGCAAGTACGAGAGGAATGGAGAAGAGAAGTGCGGAGTGGATAAAAAGAGTGGGAGAAGAAAGGTACAGTGGAGAGGAGTAGGAGGAGAAAAGGGTGTGGAATTATTATGTGGGACCCACTTGCTCTCCCCATTCTCCACATGCGAAAATATAATTTCGGTTCTTTAAGAGGCTCGTCTGTAAAAAAATAAGTCTATTTTCGCAAGCGGACCTCTTAAGGATCACATGCGAAAAATGTGGCCCGTGAACCTTCTCTTGGAAA